CCCCCCAAAAAAAGCCCAACAGCTCTTTCACAGAGTTCCCAGGAAGGGCAGAGTGTCCCAAATTCCTGCTTTGCTCTTCCTATTCCTTCCCATGGAAATCAAGGCTATTTTTGTAACCATCACCTGTCCAATGTGGATTTCCAGCTTCCCTTCTTTTGGATTATCCCCAGAGGAAAAGGTTTCTATAAAACAGGTCACTCCCATCCAACCTCCACCAAAGCCATGAAAACACAGCCAGAGAACTTCAATCTCACCACCTCCACCCTGCCTTCAACCCTGCCAGGACAACCCCAAACATGCTCTTCCATGTGGGAATAACGCTCCAGAGATGCAAAAATCCAAACATCTGGACCTTCCCATGCACGGTGGGGGGAGACAGTGCAAAGATAAATGACTTTTTGGTGTCCAGCAGCAAGGCAAGATCTCTGGATTTGATGTCCCCCCCACCGAGGACCTTCTTCCCATCACAAAAGAATAAACCCCCTCCCAATCTCCTCCCTCTGAGGGCTGCAGAAATCCTTGAGGAATGATGCCAACGGAATAACTGCATCAGCAGGAGCACTTACCCTTGAAGGGCTTTCTCTCCAAACCAATCTCCCTTCCCCAGGGTGCGGAGGAAGACGGGATCTTCACTGGGGGAGTCTTCCCGAGTGACGTTCACCTGCGGAAAAGCCAAAAGGATTTAGGAAAACTGGGCTTGACAAAGGGTTGTTCAGAGAGGAATTGGCCAGCTCCCAGATCTCTGGACTGGGTCTCCTCTGGGAATTGTTCCCCAGGGTCCTGCACTCTTCCCGTGGCATCACTGACCAACCAGCTGGGGAAATGAACAGTTATTTCCCACCGAGGTACCTCCTGCTCCTGGAAAAACCCACCACTTTGGGGGTTTGAATGTTTGTCACTCAGAACACAGAGCTGGCTGCACAAGCACAGGCAGCAGCAGAAAGAGGCTCCAAGATTTTGGGGTGGCTCAGTCAGGCACACAGCTCAGGCTCCAGTTAGATTTGCTCCCCAGCATTCCTTGAGCTCCTGAGCTCTCACCTCAGGGAAAGGTGGCATAAAAATCAGAACCAAAATGAAACAGTTTGGGGGCTGCAGGATGAAAGGTGCCCCCACTTCTTTGGGCTCCCAGATTCAGGGAAGGGATGACTCTGGCTGGAGCAAAAATCAAGGCTTTTCATTGAAGTTTAAAGGAATTGACCACCTTATTTTTAATTCTTTTTTATTTAGCAGTGCAAGAGAAGAGCAGATATTGCTGATGGAAAGCAAACTGTCTCCCTGCTGTAAACTCATGGACAGTGCATGGTGGGAGTCACCTCTCCCAGCTCTAAATCGAGTTGTGCAGCCTCTGTCTGTGGTCAGTGGACAGGGGCAGGCATTCCCAAAGCCCATCTTGTCCCAGATTTCATTGGGATGAGCCCCTCTCTGCAGGTACCTCACCTATAGGGGAAGATCTCTCATCTGCTCCTCCTTTGCAGACCTTTTAATCAGAGCTTTGGCACATGGAAGTTCCCAAAGGCAAAATGTGGGATGTCAGACATGTCCTTTTGGATTTGGAGACATTCCAGTGTAATTCCACCATGAAATTCCCAATTGTGCCCTGCACCTTCTCCCACCTCCTTAAAGGGTGGCCAGAGCAAAGCAGGGGGTTTGAGTCATTAATGCCCCACCCAAGAGCACGGGAATGTGGGATGGCTGAGCCAGGAACACCCCTGGACACACAAAGGGGACTTTAATGCAGATTTCAGCTCTTTCTCCCTGACTTCCATGGATCCTAAGCAATGAGTGTGGAGGGATTTCTGTGTGGCTCAAAGCTCTGAGCCCTTTGAACAGCCACTGCTCCACCTGACCCAGCACTAAACTGGTGCCACACCACGGTTTTTAATGGGAAAATGGTGGGAACTGGCATAGCATGGCACACTCTGCCTCTGGATCAAGGCAAGGCACTGCACAAGCAGAAGGGATTGAGCCATTTCCATTCCACAGATTCCTGCACTCAAAGTGTTCTCAACCCACTTCTGATTTCTACTCACTTGGACTCCAGGAAACCCACTCAAATAAATGAACTAAAGTAGTTCAGGAATGGGGTCAAGTGGGGTGAATGGAGCTGACAGACAAAAAGAGGAGAGATCTCGCTCCTAAAAGAACCATCAAGGGAGGATGGGCTGCAAGAAAACAGAGCAGAAATCATTCTGAGTGTTTCTGAGGAGTGCTGGGCTCAAAAATACAAAAAATCTCCTTGCTCACTTCAGCCTGGAGAAGAGAAGGGTCTGAGGAGACCTTAGGGCAGAATCCAGTACCTAAAGGTACAAGAGAGCTGGAGAGGGACT